CAAGAGAATGCCTGAGAGGCAGATAGCTGAAGGGGCAAGGGCAGAGTGGCTTGAGTTTAATGAAGTTAAGGCTATCCACAGTATGGACAGGCCAAGGTCTCAGTCTCTTGATGATCATGTGGAGAAATTTTTCAGGAAGGTAGGACATTGGTTTTTCAGTGTCAGTGCCTTGCACTCTGCTATGAACATCATTGAGTTGCAGATATCTATTGACAAAGAAGGAGATGAGGTACAAGTTTTGTCTGAACAAATATGGTACATTGGCTGCAAAGAAGGAAAGGAATTACATGCATTGATGTGGGCTCTGAACAAGGCAAAGCAAGCTAACTGGAAGCAGTGCTACTTCAAAATTCAAAGTGATAGAATTTGCTGGAAGCTTAACAGAAAGATGTTGCAGTTTGAGGCTTGCTATAATACCTTAGCCGCTGATATATTAGAACTTGTACCCTTCTTTTCTTCGATAGAGTTTGTTACATAGGTCTGTTTCCTTGCTTATCTTGTATTGTTGTAGTTGTATTTGGTTGAGATTGTAAGAGGTTGCTTGTTGACACCCCTGGGTTATTTGTGCTACTTAGTGGTTCGGTTGTAAAAAACTTTGTTTGAGTTGAATGTATTCGATTTATCATTGGAAAAAAAAAAATGTTTGATCAAAACCTCTTTTTGGGTTAGTTTTATGCAACAAGCACAACTTACCTGTATTTCACCAGTCACATTGACAATATGTGGGCTTTGATATAGCTTGTGAGGCAATAAATTTTTTTGAACTTTGTCTTCTAAAGGGTAATTGGTAGAAAAAGGGTAAGCTCTATTTCACCAGTTACATTTACAATATTAGGGCTTTGATATAGCTTGTGAAAGACAATGAACTTTTTGAACTTTATCTTCTAAAGGGTAAGCTCGATTTTACTATCGGTAATCATCGTTCGATCACGCGCATATACGAACAAATTTACATGAGCAGGTATTATCCAACGATGATAAATTCGGCACTACCTTCACGGTGAGAAGAATTAACCATGCGGTAATAAAACTGACAATAATGATTAAAATGCCCTAGGAGACTACTAAAATTCACTATCGAATTATGACATTGTCACCAAATTCAGCACCCGTGTGGCCTTAATAGTGATAACAAATGATTACAAGATATCACATTGTGTAAATAACAACCAAGCCTAATCCCTTTCGAAAAAAAATTAAAACTACTTCCAA